ACACAAAAAGTTGCGTTTATGGTTCTATGGACTACAATGGCAACCCTGCAGAAAAGCATGTAGTGTGTTCTTGCTGCATTTTGCATTTAAAATCGTTTTTTTTTTGCGTTTAAAATAGCAACAAAATGCAAAACGCAACGCAAAACATTATGCAAAAACGTTTTTTGGAAAGGGTCGGGGCCTTTGTTGAATGCAAAAAGTTCCTTTTTTGGCTCTATAGACTTCAATAGGAACCCTGCACAAAAGCATGTAGTGCATTTTTGCTGCATTTTGCGTATTAAGTCTGCCTAGCAACAAAATGCATAAAAAACGCAACGCAAAACGCCATGCAGAAATGTTTTTTGGAAAGGGTTAGGGACTTTCTTTTTTAACGCAAAAAGTTGCGTTTTTGCTTCTATAGACTTCAATACTCTGCAGAAAAGCATGTAGTGCGTTTTTGCTGCATTTTGCGTTTTAAGTCTGCATAGCAACAAAATTCAAAACGGCATGCAGAAACATTTTTTTGGAAAGGGTCAGGGACATTTTTAACGCAAAAAGTTGCGTTTATGGTTCTATAGACTTCAATAGCAACCCTGCAGTAAAGCATGTAGTGCATTTTTGCTGCATTTTGCGTATTAAGTCTGCCTAGCAACAAAATGCAAAACGCATCAAAAACGCAATGCAGAAACGTTTTTTGGAAAGGGTCAGGGACTTTCTTTTTAGCCCAAAAAGTTACGTTTTTGCTTCTATAGACTTCAATGGCAACCCTGCAGAAAAGCATGTAGTGTGTTTTTGCTGCATTTTGCGTTTTAAGTCTGCCTAGCATCAAAATGCAAAAACAAAACGCAACGCAAAACGCCATGCAGAAACGTGTCAAAAGCAAACTGCATAGGTGTGAACCTAGACTTAAGACAGGTTCACTCTCAGTGCTACCCCATTGTGTCTGGGTTTGTTTTATTTCACTGGCTTCATGACCACCAGATCATCTGCCTTCACTGAAAACAGGACAGCTCAGTCAGGGGCACGCCCCCTTCCTGCTGATTGGACAATAAATGAAGAGTAACACACTGGTGAGATCATAGCTGTGATCTCTCCTCCTGTCAGCAGACCTGAAAGTGAAGCCCGATCGACACCTGTGCTGGTTTTATATAAAAATACATTGATTGAGGTCGCTGTTTTCATTCGCGGTGTTAATAATGTGGCAGCACCTAGATATTGCAGAGATTCCCTTTAAACTTTAACATTTCTAACAGCCTCTGTTTGCAGAAGCAAGGTCACCAGCTCTCTCTCCCCCCCTCCCTTATTTCCTGTGAAGTGTTCCAGTCTGTAGCTGGTATTCTTATCTGTAGCCATATACTGCACAGTTTAGAACGTCTTTTGAATGTACAGAAAATGAAAGAGGAAATATATGCATTGTGACGTAATTGTTGATATGTATACTCTGTGAGATGCTTTTCTAGGCACTTAGCTTTGCAGACATGAGTCTGGCTCGGTCAAACCAGCTGGTGAATAAAAGGTTTGTTCTCCCCAAGTTCATGTCCGGAGTTTTAGCTGGCATTCCCAAAGTTGCTACTACAGTACCTCTTTGGAATTCAGCTATACAGCAAACCTGTGCATTCACCGTGTAGGGCAAAGTGACAGGTCCTCTTTATTCCCCCCTGCCCCCTTTCCTTTACTGCTCCTCCACTTCATTCATCCACTGGGAGCAAGCAGAGGAAGCCCTACACCTCTGCCTCCGTGTGACACGCTGGGCCAATCACAAAGCTCCAGTGCCGTCACCTGCTCCTCCATGCCGGAAAGCATGGATCATAATAAAAGGCTGAGGCCTGTACAGTCACCCAGTTCAATGTATTGCCCCACAGCTGAAAAACGTGATCAGGGGCGCACTGACCATTTGGAAACTTGGGCACTGCCCGAGGGCCCAGGGTCAGTAGGGGGCCCCAATGCGATGCCCCTGGTACCTTTCATAGGCTTTTATGGGTGTGGTTTGAGTGTGGGCGAGGACATAGGGGCCCCATGATCCCCTATTGCCCGGGGGCCCCATGAGTTGTCAGTCCACCCCTGCATGTGATAGCTCAGGCAAGGTATACCCCAACACTCCCCGGAGCGGAGGTCAAATCGTGGATTCTCCAGTTGTGTGTTTATGTAAGAAACACTCAGAGTTCTTCAGAATGATATCATATCCAAATGTAAAACCCAATGGACCCCATAGGTGGAATCATAGATGTCCTCTCCCACCCGGATTCTTCTAGCCTGGCCAAGTCAGGCCCAGCACCAATCATGTGCAGGCAGATCCTAAGCAGAATAATTGCCCGACTTTTGAGAACAAGAAGACCAAATGACCTGCCATTGATACTTTCTCCTTAGGGCCCTCTCACATGGGCCCTTCTGCTCCTCTGCTGATCAGAGTGGAGTGGGCAGATGACAGGGCCACGTCCTCTCCGTTTCTGCAGAGCGGACACAGCCTGCTCTACCTCTATGGGAGGCTGGGTGTCAGTGGACTCCGCTGTCCGTTTACAACCCGGCTGCCTCCAGTCTGGTTCATCCAAACAGATGAGGGAGCAGTCCTCCATTTTTTTATAGCGGATCTGATCAGACATGGAGGTAGGTAGGTGAAAAACTGACAGGCAGACCTCACTGGATCGCCCATGTGTCAGAGCCCTTACCTTGCTACCTCCTTCCCCCCCTCCCTCTTTTTTCCCTTTACACTCCCCTTCTTTTTATTATCTTTTTACCTACTAATCCCCTTCACGACCCCAAACACCTTCCTCCTACACCCACTCTCAGGGATGTCTTTCAAAGGGAACGCAGTTACAGCATCTCCAGCACTGAATGTGTGCAATGGCAAGGGATGCTGGGAGGTCTATTGTTGCTGGGGTGGATCTATTGTTGCAGGGTGTCTATTGTTCTAGGGAGGTCCATTGATGCTGGTGGGGGATCTATTGTTGCTGGGACGGATCTATTTTTGCAGGGTGTCTATTGTTCTAGGGAGGTCCATTGATGCTGGTGGGGGATCTATTGTTGCTGGAGCAGATCTATTTTGCAGGGTGTCTATTGTTCTAGGGAGGTCCATTGATGCTGGTGGGGGATCTATTGTTGCTGGGGTGGATCTATTTTTGCAGGGTGTCTATTGTTCTAGGGAGGTCCGTTGATGCTGGTGGGGGATCTATCGTTACTGGCGTGGATCTATTTTTGCAGGGTGTCTATTGTTCTAGGGAGGTCTGTTGATGCTGGTGGGGGATCTATCGTTGCTGGGGCAGATCTATTTTTGCAGGGTGTCTATTGTTCTAGGGAGGTCCATTGATGCTGGTGGGGGATCTATTGTTGCTGGGGCAGATCTATTTTTGCAGGGTTTCTATTGTTCTAGGGAGGTCCATTGATGCTGGTGGGGGATCTATTGTTGCTGGGGCAGATCTATTTTTGCAGGGTGTCTATTGTTCTCGGGAGGTCCATTGATGCTGGTGGTGGATCTATTGTTGCTGGGGCAGATCTATTTTTGCAGGGTGTCTATTGTTCTAGGGAGGTCCATTGATGCTGGTGGGGGATCTATTGTTGATGGGGAAGATCTATTTTTGCAGGGTGTCTATTGTTCTAGGGAGGTCCATTGATGCTGGTGGGGGATCTATTGTTGCTGGGGCGGATCTATTTTTGCAGGGTGTCTATTATGTTCTAGGGAGGTCTGTTGATGCTGGTGGGGGATATAATGTTGCTGGGGCGTAATAAATCATGCTTCTCTGTCTGGCAATCCGGTGGACATGTCTGGGTTTGGCGGTTGCCAGGAGTATGATACTTGCCTGGCTGCATTGTGCCAAGTGTAAAGTTTGGTGGAGGTGGATTATGGTGTGTTTTTCAGGGGTTGGGCTTGGCCCCCTAGTTCCAGTGAAGGGAACTATTAAGGCATCGGCATACCAAGACATTTTGGACAATTTCATGCTCCCAACTTTGTGGGAAGAGTTTGGGGATGGCCCCTTCCTGTTCCAACATGACTGCACACCAGTGCACAAAGCAAGGTCCATAAAGACATGGAGGAGCCAGTTTGGGGTGGAGGAACTTGACTGGCCTGCACAGAGTCCTGACCTCAACCCCATAGAACACCTTTGGGATGAATTAGAGCGGAGACTGTGAGCCAGGTCTCCTCCCCCGATATCAGTGCCTGACCTCACAAATGTGCTTCTGGAAGAATGGTCCAACCTTCCCATAGACACCCTCCTAAACCTTGTGGACGGCCTTCCCAGAAGAGTTGAAGCTGTTATAGCTGCAAAGGGCGGGGCCAACTCAATAATGAACCCTACGGACTAAGACTGGGGGCCATTAAAGTTCATGTGTGTGTAAAGGCCGGCCGACCAATACTTTTGAAAATATAGTGTATGTTCAGTTCTGCCTTAACCACTTGCCTACCGGGCACTTGTACTCCCTTATTTACCAGGCCAATTTTCAGCTTTCAGCGCTGCCGCACTTTGATTGACAATTGCGCGGTCATGCAACATTGTACCCATATGACATTTTGATCATTTTTTTCTCACAAATAGAGCTTTCTTTTGGTGGTATTTAATCGCCCCTGGGCACTTTACTTTTTGCGCTATAAATAAAAAAAGTGCAAAAAATTTAAAAAAAAAAGTTTCTTTGTTTCTATTATAAAATTTTTCAAACAGGTATTTTTTCTCCTTCACTGATGTGCGTTGATGAGGCAGCACTGATGGGCACTGATAGGCGGCACTAAAGGGCACTGATAGGCAGTACTAATGAGGTGGCATGGATAGGTGGCACTGATAGACAGCACTAATGAGGTGTCACGGATAGGCGGCACTAATATGCAGCATTGATAGGCGGCACTGATAGGTGACACTGATGATGGGTACTGATAGACGGCACTGACTGGCATCACTGCTGGGCACTGACTGGCGGCACTGACTGGCACAACCCCTGGGCACTGACTGGTGGCACTGACTGGCTGCACTGGTGGGTGGGCACAGGTGGGTGGCACTGGTGGGTGGCACTGCTGGGCACATGTAGGTGGCACTTCTGGGCACAGGTGTGTGACACTGCAGAGTGGCACAGGTGGATGCACTGCTGGGCACAGGTGGATGCACTGCTGGGCACAGGTGGGCAGAGCTAGTGGGCGCACTGCTGGGCGGAACGTGCGGGTGGCACTGCTGGGCACCGATCATCAGGGCACTGATCATCAGTGCCCTGATGATCGGTGCCGATCCCCGCTCTGACAACTGCCGGTTCTCGGCAGTACTTTCCTCACGATCTGACAGTGTGAGGAAAGTGCAGCCGAGAACCGGCACTTGCATTTCCCTCTGATGAGCGTGTCATTGGACACCGCTGATCAGGTGGTAAAAGGCCGCTGTGATCGGCTGTGTCCGTAGGATCAGCTGTGATCGGCTGTGTCCGTAGGACACAGCGATCACGGAGATCGCCGGGTGCGCGCCCCCTGGGGCGCGCAGGAGAGCGCGTTCTGGGGGGACGTCTTATGACGTCCACTCAGAACTGGCCGGCCGCAGTGAAGCCGTCATTCGGCTATCTGCGGTCGGCAGGTAGTTAAACTAAACCCCCCCATACTGAATCCCGCTCTCATTTATTTTGTGTAGGTGTTCTGCATTAGCTAGTATATAGGGAACATATAACAGCTGTTAGAGCAAGCACTGCAATTCAGCACAGGAAATCGCAACTGCATTCCTAGAAGTATTATTATTATACAGGATTTATATATTATTATTATACAGGATTTATATATTATTATTATTATTGTACAGGATTTATATATTATTATTATTATACAGGATTTATATATTATTATTATACAGGATTTATATATTATTATTATTATACAGGATTTATATCGCGCCAACAGTTTGCTCAGCGCTTTACAATATAACGGGAGACAATACAGCAACAATACAGTTCAATACAAGAGGGATAGGAGGGCCTGATCCTGGGAGCTTACAATCTAAGAGTGTCAGTTCTGCATTCAAGTCCCACAGCATAACACACTGTCATGTGCCTGTCCTGGAACTAGCACTGCTTCCATGAATCGGGCAATGGCACAGGATAGCAGCTTTGGTTGTGCCATTAACAACCACTGTGACAGGTCCTCTTAATAACAGGACATATATGCCCAGTGTTATAGAGACCTATCATATAACTACCAGCCAGTACATGACTGTGTCTCAGACTGCAACAATGTCTACATTTCATGGTGGATTCATAGGCTGCATACAGGATTCTAAAGTGAACCTGTCACGAAATAACACGCAACAGCAGCCTCAGATGGCAGCTCCACACTCTAATACACAGGTGTCAAACCCAAGGCTCGTGGGCCGAATCTGGCCCTCCAGGTCATCTCATGTGGCCCTTGCACCTCTCCTGCAGGAACCCCCTTGTCTCTGCCCCCACCTTGTCTCAGCAGTTGGCAGCAGAAAGGAGAACAGAACAGCTCTGCCAAATCCTGCACCTCCCAGTGCAGCTGCACCACCCTCTCATCTCTGCCTCCCCTGGTCTCAGCATGCAGCAGACTCTAGTAACTGACTCCACGACTCCTCTGGTCCTCCTCCAGACCCTGCACTTTGTGCTTTCCAGCTCTGCCCCCAAAAGGGGTGCACAGTGATGTTAGGGAGGGTGTGGGGTTCTTGACATCTGATGTAATCAGGGGTGGGGTGCTCTGGACATCTAGTCTTAGAGATACAACCTGCCCTTTGAGGGCAACCATAATGCTGGTATGGCCCGCGATGAAATGGAGTTTGACACCCCTGCTCTAACGGATGTGATTTGTAAGAAAAAAGAATAGTTTGGATGCTATGAAGACACTGCCAAAAAATGAATATACAATCCAGCAGTCATCTTCCATCTGAGGCTTCCAGAAACTGGTGTTTTGCTTCATTACAGATTTCTGTCAATGGTGCTGTAAGGGTGTATGTGTGACGTGGACATATAAATACACAAGTTAATATTTTTATTTAAATGTTTTTTAATTATGAACATATTTACACAAAAGGAACAGAAAGCACTACTGTACTTCTTGAAAATAAAACTGGAAGATTGCAATGACACAGAAAATGTGCAGTTACTCCTGAGCCCGAGACTGTCCTCCCGGTGTCTGTGAAGGTTCTCCCCTGATCCAGGTCATGGTATATTAAAGGATAAGTTCACCTTTCAGAACATGTTATGATCAGACTGGCCCCCGCTACCCTGCTTTGACAGCTCGCTGTTGAATTAAAAAAAAAAAAAAACAAAAAACAAAAAAAAAAAAACACAACAACATGGCCATGCAGAGCTACACCCACCCAGTGGCATCACTCATTCACTGTGTTGCGTGACTAAGAAACTACAAGTCCCAATACCTGTATCGGCTGTTGGCATATTGTCCTCAATGAACTTCCATGGTGCTGTGCACCGCCGTGGTAGTTCATTGAGTCTTCCTGTCAGTATATGCATGGGCACGCAGGTATACTGACAGATCTGCAGGAGACCTGCATGGCACCAGCAATCTACTGATCACTGGTGCAAAGCTTTACAGGCTCTGCAACAAAAATTAATAAATGCACATTTTCTTTTACCTACCAAAAAAAAAAAATGCATTTAATATTTTTTGTATATAAGGTGAACTTATCCTTTAAGTAGTAGTTAGTCAACTGGACTTGTGCTGTAATGGTGATGTTTTGTTTCTTCAGGCCTCTTTTTCAATTCCAACAATCGTCAGGAACACATCCAGCATTTATATAAAGAAGTGGCTTGTAGAAGCTACAAAACATCGTCAATATTAGCCACTTGCTGCCCAGCCACTGTACATATACGGCGGCAGGGCGGCACGGGCAGGCAAAGCCACGTTTTAAAAACGTGTGTTTTGTAAACAAATAGGGGGCGCGCGCGAGGCCGCGCTATCTGTCCCGCCGATCACTGCCGCAGATGTGAGTCGCCGGGTCACAGCCGGTCCTTAGCGGCTATCTCCCTGCGATCGGCCGCAAACAGTGACAGACAGCACAGCAGCAGTAGCTGTGCTGTCTGTCACTTCCCTGTCAGCTCGAGGATGAGCTCATCGAGAACGAACAGTTTCTCTTTCTCAATCAGCCTTGTCCTGCCCAGTACACACCCCCGCCCCCTAGTAAAACACTCCCCTCACTCCTATAACCCTTCCCTGAAAAATAAAGTTAACCCCTTCCTCCCCATTGCCATTAGTACAGTGTCAGTGTTTTTTTTTTTTTTGCCCTGATCACTGTATTAGTGTTTTTGGGGATGTCAGTGACCCCAAGTCAGTACCCCCCAATGTCAGAATGTCCGCCGCAGTCCCGCCATAAGTCGCTGGTCGCTGCCATAAGTCACTGATCGCCGCCATAATTTGCTGATCACCGCCATTATTAGTATAAAAAAAAAACCTAAAACTCCCAGTATCTTTCTCGCCATTTGTAAACGCTATAACTTTCACGTAAACCAATTAATTTACACGTATTGGGTTTTTTTTTTTAGAAAAGACATGTCGCAGAATGCATTTTGGCAGAAATTTATGACTAAATTTGATTTTTGCATTTTTTTTTTACTGGACATGTTTTATAGCAAAAAGTACAAAATATTGTTTTTTTTTCCTCAAAATTGTCAGCCTTTTTTTTTATAGCGCAAAAAATAAAAACCGCATAGGCGATCAAATACCACCAAAGAAAGCTCAATTTGTGGGGAAAATAGGATGTAAATTTCATTTATGTACCGTATTGCATGACCGCGCAATTGTCCAATAAACTAGCGCAGTGCTGTATAGCAGAAAAATGGCGTAAATTGCAGTATCTATACCATAGTTTGTAGACGCTATAAACTTCCACACAAAGCAATCAATATACACTTATTGGGATTTTTTTTACCAAAAACATGGAGCAGAATACATTTTGTCCTAAATTTATAAACAACTTTGAGTTTACTATATATTTTTTATAGCTGAAAGTAAAAAATATTGTTTTTCTTCAACATTTTTGGCCTTTTTTTGTTTATAGCGTGAAAAATAAAAAAAGAGCACAGGTGATCAAATACCACCGAAAGAAAGCTCTATTTGTGTGAAAAAAAGGACGTAAATTTCGTTTGGGTGCAGCATTGCATGACCGCGCAATTATCAGTTGAATTAGTGCAGCGCCGAGTAGCAAAAAGAGGCCTGGTCATTAAGGGGGGTAAATCCTCAGGAGGGCAAGTGGTTAGAGAACAAGTCAAGTGGAATATGATGAACTATTACTAGCAATACCACAACCTGGATCAATGGGAACCAACACAGATATATCTCCTTATTGTAATCCTCAACTTCGAGAGCAAAGAAAATGACAGACGTTCAATACATACCTTTAAAAATGAAGTTTAATCTGTTTATATTTTGCCTTCCCCTGCTTTTCTCCCCACCCCCCTTCATCAACATGCTAGTGAAATTGTTTTCATGATACACTTTATTTTAGAACCAGTGACATCATTACTGGGTTTCTATGCTTTTATATGCAATACAGGCAGATCTTTGCTGGCGAGAGGAACAAGCAGGGTGCCGTACATAGCTTCCTGAAAACAGATGTGGTAATGCCCACATGTGATGCTGAGCCTCCATGATTGAAAGAACTGAAATCCAATGAATGAAAGGAGTGGGCTGGGGACATTCAGGCACAGGAGGGAAGGGCTAGACAATACTGGATGTCCCCCAGCTAGGAAATATACAATCCAATAAAGCAGGATGTATGTATTGTAAAGCGCAGCATATATATAAAAAAATAAATAAATAAATGAGTGCGCTGTACACTAATTAAACCTGACACAACGACTAAACATAATAGCCAAAACATGAGACGCAAATAAACATATATAAAAATGCAAAAATACATTGGAAGTGCTATAAATCCATGTGCATGGTATAAGTGATCAACAAGTCCCAAATCCAACGTGAAACTTTCTGGATGTAATGTCCAACAAAGTGTTGTGGTGTCCACAAGTGCTCGCCACACCGAACAAATCAGCCTCTTACCGAACCAATTTGATCCCCAATCAAGAGATCAAACGAGCAGATGGTGTTCAGATTCCACACTGACACCCATGCTAGCAATATCGAAGGAGATGGATGGACAGCTGCGGGCTCACCCAAATTCCTCACTTCGATCCGCTCTCCTTTCAGTGTAGAGAAGGATTAAAACAGAAGAGACTTCATAGTGCAACCCGATAAATTTTTTTTAACTCAAAAATGTATTCAATAAAACATTGCAGTTACATAGATAAGGTGCATAAAGGCAGTGTACAAATTCAAATCTACCGCGGTGTCATTCCACCAGCCGGAACGTGGTGACGTCACAGAAGACTCCACGTCACATGCCTGATGAAGGGGTCCTGCGAGACTCTGAAACGTTGCCTTGCTGTAACTATGTGATGGTTTATTAAAACCTTTGGACCCATATTGGTGATCCTCGGTGTGCTGGTGACATTTTTTCCTTCCTAGAAGACTCCAGCTGACGCGTTTCTCCAAAACTGGCGTCCTCTGGGATTGGAGATTCCGGCTGGTGGAATGACACCACGGTAGATTTGAATTTGTACACTGCCTTTATGCACCTTATCTATGTAACTGCAATGTTCTAGTGAATACATTTTTGAGTTTTATCGGGTTGCACTATGAAGTCTCTTCTGTTTTATTCCTTCTCTACTCTGTAAGGAGAGCGGATCGATGTGAGGAATTCGTCTGGGTGAGCCCACAGCTGTCCATCTATCTCCTTCGATATTGTTAGCACGGGTGTCCGTGTGGAATCTGGACACCATCTGCTCGTTTGATCTCTTGATTGGGGATCAAATTGGTTCAGTAAGAGGCTGATTTGTTTGGTGTGGCGAGCACTTGTGAACACCACAACTCATTGTTGGAGATTACATTCAGCACGTAGCACTTTCACATTGGATTTGGGACTTATTGATCACTTATAACATGCACATAGACTTGTTGCACTTCAGATGTATTTTTTGCACATTTATATGTTTATTTGCGGTTTATTTTTGGTCTATTATGTTTAGTCGTTGTGTCAGGTTTCATTAGTGTACAGCGCACTCATTTATTTTCGTTTGTTCTGGTCTTCAGGAAGAGAGTAGCGGCATGTCACTTTATTCATCGCATTTGTTCACATTTGTACACTTTTCACCTTTTGTTGGGTGTAGCGCAGGTTTTCATGCAGCTTACGACTCAGACTCAGAGCTGGAATCGGAGTAGTCTGGTACAAGGCAGGAGGAAGCAGCTGGCTCTTTGGGGGGTGTGTCCTTGGGCGGGGTCTCAGGCGGAGAAGTATCTGTGTTACTGACAGTCTGTAGAGCAGTGCTCTCATTCGCTGGCTGTATAAATTCGCTGTTCTCCCAATGTTTCCCATTGGTCTCCTCTGATGTTTCTTGTCCACATTCAGCCAGGCAAACAGTCTTTTCCTTATCATTCCCCTCCTTTGACTCCCTCCTTACCACTCCCAGTGATAAAGCAGATGTTACGGGGCTGGATACAGGTTTAGGTCGGATCTTGAGATTCTTTAAAGAGTTGTTTGTTGTCTGGATCTTCACGTCACTTCCCCGAGAAAACCAAGGGCGGCTGGAAATCTCCGATCGTTTCTTCTGCTGCCTTTTGTCATATGCTGGAAGGTGAAGGAATATTAGAACCTCAGTAACTAATCATCTCCACCCCATAGCTGTCCACACAACCCACTTACAGCACAGTAGGACAGTTTAGACAGCCCGGGTTCACACTGATGCGGTAAGGAATTTGCAGCGTTTTCTGTGCGAATTCCACACCCCATCACAATCGCACCCCGTTCATGCGAACCGTTGCGGGTGTGTATGTTAAGTTACAAACACCCTGAAATCGGTCCAGAAAGCGCAGTGTGATGTGCAGAATCGGATCGCATGGGTGTGAACACTCATGAGATCCGATTCTAGTGCGGACCAAAAAAAGGGTTCCGCACTTTTTTGGCGCGGATGCGGTGCGATTTGAGCCATACAAAATGTACGGCTCAAATCGCACTGCACAGAATTCGCATGTGATTTGCACAGGAATGCGGTGCCTATGCGAAATGCCACACCACACAAGTGTGAACCCGGGCTTAGGAGGTCATTGTGCCTTCACCTAGTTCACTCAGTCCGAGACAGACAGACAGACAGACACACACCTTTTTTAGTGAGGTAATGTGTAATCACAGTTATGATTGCAATTTTGCCAGAAGAAGCCATGTGAAAATCATTTTGGTATATAAAGCGGATAAAAAGATAGTGTTGAATAAACCAAAGCATACCAAAGCTTCACCATTGGGTCCGGTCATGAAGGTTTTGATTACCCTAGACTTGACAGGATTATTTTTACAAATTTTTTTTTTTTTTTAAAGATAGGTTTTTTTTTTTTTTTGCTTTCAGATTGTTAATGCAGAATTTATGTAGAGAAGTCCAGCAGGTTCTCTTCCTCTCCCAGTTTTTTTCTGGGGAGGAAGGGGGGCACCTGTAGGTACAAGGAATATCTCCTATACGTGCACTGCATGCATACTAGTACGTATGACGTTACCTTGCAGGAAAAGATTATTATTATACAGTATTTATATAGCGCCAACAGTTTGCTCAGTGCTGTACATTACAATGGGAGACAGTACACGAGACAGTACAGTAACAATACGATTCAATACACTGCTCCTTGGAGCTTACAATCTAGGAGGGAGGGGATAGTGGTACGGGAGGAAATAGCTGTGGGGGATGGAGTGGTAGGAAGAGTGGAGGAGTTTCAGTAATTAGCTGAGGGCGGGGTAGGCTTCCCTGAAGAGATGGGTTTTCAGAGTGCGCCTAAAGGTGAGGAGAGTAGGTGATAGTCTGATGGATTGGGGTAGGGAGTTCCAGAGGATGGGGGAAGCCCTGGAGATGGGCATGGGAGGAGGAGACCAGGGAACTAGAGAGTAGGAGGTCTTGTGAGGAGCAGAGAGTGCGTTTTGGGTGGTATTTGGATACCAGATTGGTGATGTAGTTTGGGGGTGTTATGAACAGCTTTATATGTCAATGTTAGTATTTTGAATTTTATCCATTGGGCAATCGGAAGCCAGTGGAGGGATTGGCAGAGAGGGGTGGCGGATACGGAGAGGTTAGTAAGGTGGATGAGTCTGGCTGCAGCATTCAAGATAGTCTGAAGAGGGGATAGCCTGCGATGAGGTAGGCCAGTGAGGAGGGAGTTACAATAGTCAAGTCGTGATATAATAAGGGAGGGAATAAGTTGCTTAGTGGTTTCTGAGGTTAGGAACGGGCGTATCTTGGAGATGTTGTGGAGGTGAAGTCTACATGAGTTTGTCAGTGATTGGACCTGGGGCTGGAAGGACAGATTGGAGTCTAGGATGACACCTAGTACCCTGGCTTGATGGGAGGGACTGATGATAGTGTTGTTGGTCTTGATGGAGAAGTCGGGGGCGCAGGCTGGGGGGAAAACTAGGACGATGATTTTTAAGTCAAGTCTACCACCACTTTAAGGAGGAAGTTTACCTTTTCACAAAAAATGAAAAGGATGAACTGACGCTGAATATCCTGGCCACGCCCTGGGACCTCACTGCTGTACACCATGCACAGCGAAACACAGCCCCGCACTGAGTATTCATCATAATGCAGCATGGTCATGTGGCTGGGCTGACAAATCAGTGACTGCCATTTCAAGCACTATAATGGATACTGCGGTGTACAGACCCTTATGCATGCAGCATGGGGCATCACAACTAATATGCAGCAGAACCCAAAGCGGTGGCCAGGATATTTGGAGGTAGGTTTCCTTTTCATTTTTCAAAACTAACCACTTGCCTACCAGGCACATTTACCCCCCCCCCCCCCCATGCAGGCCAATTTTCATCTTTCAGCGCTGCCACACTTTGAATGACAATTGTGCGGTCATCATGCAACATTGTACCCACATGAAATTTTTATAATTTTTTTTTTCACAAATAGAGCTTTCTTTTGGCCGCTTATTTTTTGCACTATAAACAAAAAAAAAGAGCAAAAAAATTTGAAAAAAAAAAAAATGTTTTTCTTTGTTTCTATGATAAAATTTTGCATGCAGGTAATTGTGTTTGCTCCTTCACTGATGAGGCTGCACTGATAGGCACTGATAGGTGGCACAGATAGGCAGCATTGATGAGGCGGCACTGATGATGCTGCACGAATATGCAACAATGATGGGCACTGATAGGCGGCCCTGCTGGGCACAGGTGGGTGGCACTGCTGTGCACTGATGATGCTAAACTAATATGAAACAAAGATGGACACTGATAGGCGGCACTGCTGGGCACTGACTGGTGGCACTGCTGGGCACAGGTGGGCAGCATTGGTGGGTGACACTGCTGGGCACTGATGATCGGTGCCAATCTGTCCTCTGACAATTGCCGGTTATCAACAGTACTTTCCTCACACTGTCACAGCATGAGGAAAGTGCAGCCGATAACCGGCAACTGCATTTATAGGTGATCTGCTGTGTCATTGGATTCAGCTGATCACGTGGTAAAAGAGTGCTGTGATTGGCCTTTTACCACATCACATGATCAGCTGTGTCCGTAGTTAAACAATCTAATTTGCTTGAGTTAAAAGTGGTTGTAAACCTCAGACATGAAATATGAACAAAACCTATCCATCTACAGTGTGTGCTTGTCTCAATCCAGAACACGAATTGCCATTTCTGTCCGCTGCCTCATTCCTCTGCTATCAGCAGGAATGACTTTCTTCTGACATGTTTTCCTGACACCAAGAGAAAAATGGTGACAGGGGAGGGACCTCTAGCAGATTGACAGCTTCAACTCCATTCCTGTGTGCTGTGTGGAGGGGGACGTGTCTGTTCCCTCCAATCAGCTCTCAGAACTCTCCTCACTGTGCTCTTCAGAGTGTAATTTCAGTTCTCCACCCCCTTTTTTCTGAATTCCCAGATAAGCTGTATAAATTCAGCACTTTGAACAGATGTAGAGAAGAGAAGACTACAGATAAACAGGTATAATTTACTGTATGTAGGAGGATTTGTTGCATCACCTGATGCCAGTCACTTCGCTGGGTATATGGGAGGGTTTACAACCACTTTAAAGGAACTAGTGTAATATAGGTGATGTATGAATTTGAATTGGATGAATCTGTCTGTGGTACTAATACTATCAATATGAAAGGGTTATTCTTATTCAGCAATAACAGTGCTTTCAGTGGAAACACAGGTTCTGGCCCCTATATTGGAATGCCCAGTTATTGCATCCAGGTCTTTTCTGCCTTGACTAAATCTTACAAACAATAGGTTTATCAACACTCCCAATGAACAATCTGGTGGTATCTGGGGCGTCTTCCAATGCTTACACTCCAGGCTGCGGTACTTTAGTAGTGACGCCATCCTCTTATCCTCTTCTGTCTCCGGAAGCAGCTTCAGATCTAAGGAGGCCTTCTTCAGGAAAGCCTGGTCCTTCTGTTCCTCCTCTCGAATCTGTTTTTTCTCTTCCTATGTAGGGAAAACAGAATAAATTCAAAGGAAAGAAGGGAGTGTGACTAAAATACCAAGATGGGAACTGGGTTCAATTTCACAAAATTTTTGTAAAATCTTAATGATTTACCACCCCCCACACCGCTACCACCCCCCTGGTCCCTGCAGCCAGCTCCCTGGAATCCTATGGGACTTCCTGAGTACCAAAAGCAAAGTGCAAGGACCAGAGCAGCAGAAAGAAGGGAACCGCCAGCATTACTAGTGAAAGACACCAGGGGGTGAGTGTTACAAACATACACCTATCTCACAAACATCTGCTCCGTGACGATGTTTTCCAGAGTTCTTCTTTAAACAGGACCCCATTTAACCACTTGCCGCCCTGCCACTGTAGAAATACGGCAGCAGGGCGGTACGGGCAGGCAAAACCACGTTTTAAAACGTGTTTTGTAAAAAGGTAGGGGTGCGCGTGAGGTGTGCCACCGCCCTACCTGTCCCGCCGATCACAGACGCGGATGTCAGTCGCCGGGTCACAGCCGGTCCTTACCGGCTATCTCCTGGCGATCGGCGGAAATCAGTGACAGAGAGCACAGCTGCAGTAGCTGTGCTTTCTGTCACTTCCCTGACAGCTCGAGGACAAGCTGATCGGGACAGAAGAGTTTCACTCTTCCGATCAGCCATGTTCCCTGCAGTGCACACCCCACCCCCTAGTAAAACACTCCCCTCACACAGATAACCCTTCCCTGCAAAATAAAATTAACCCCTTCCTCCCCACAGTGCCATTAGTACAGTGTCAGTGGGTTTTTTTTTTGCACTGATCACTGTATTGGTGTCACTGGGGATGTCAGTGACCCCAAGTCAGTACCCCCCCCAGTGTCAGAATGTCCGCCGCAGTCCCGCCATAAGTCGCTGATCGCCGCCATAAGTCACTGATCGCCGCCATAAGTCACTGATCGCCGCCATTATTAGTATAAAAAAAAAAAAAACTAAAAATCCCAGTATCTTTCCCGCCATTTGTAAACGCTATAACTTTCACGTAAACCAATTAATTTACACGTATTGGGGTTTTTTTCAGTAAGGACATGTCGCAGAATGCATTTTGGCAGAAATTTATGACTAAATTTGATTTTTAATTTTTTTTTTTTACTGGACATGTTTTATAGCAAAAAGTCCAAAATATTGTTTTTTTTCCCTCAAAATTGTCAGCCTTTTTTTTTATAGCGCAAAAAATAAAAACCGCACAGGCGATCAAATACCACCGAAAGAAAGCTCAATTTGGGAAAAAAAGGATGTATATTTCATTTATGTACCGTATTGCATGACTGCGCAATTGTCCGTTAAACTAGCGCAGCGCTGTATAGCAAAAAAAATGGCGTAAATTGCAGTATCTATACCATAGTTTGTAGACGCTATAACTTCCACATAAAGCAATCAATATACAGTCATTGGCATTTTTTTTACCAAAAACATGGAGCAGAATACATTTTGGCCTAAATTTATAACCAACTTTGAGTTTACTATATATTTGTTATAGCTGAAAGTAAAAAATATCGTTTTTCTTCAAAGTTTGGCATTTTTTTGTTTATAGCATAAAAAATAAAAAGCACACAGGTGATCAAATACCACCGAAAGAAAGCTCCATTTGTGTGAAAAAAAGGACGTAAATTTCGTTTGGGTGCAGCATTGCATGACCGCGCAATTATCAGTTGAATTAGTGCAGCGCCGAGTAGCAAAAAGAGGCCTGGTCATTAAGGGGGGGTAAATCCTCTGGAGGGCAAGTGGTTAAACAGAGAGTGGATTTTGCCATCCACTGAACACTATTATTCCACTCTGGCCTGCATTTTTTTCACCCTATTCATAGAATGCAGGTCACAGTATGCAGCCTGTGGTATCCCTGCAGAGGGAACTCTGTGACTGGAAGAAAGGCTGGTCACATGACTTTGACCAGGCCCTCCTCCTCCTCTGAGAATTTTGTTTCTTCATTGATTTTTATTGTGTTCCAATTGCTTTGGAGTCCCAAAACAAGCAGAGCACATTGTACATTTGTAAGTTATACTGTTGTGCTTCACACAGACTCTGTCGCCATTGAAAAAATGCAGGTAAAAAAATAAATAAATAATAAAATGCTTACTTGCTGCATTTTTTCCTCTTCATAAATGATTTTAATCAGCTGCAATGTGCTTATAACTTGATAGGGAATTTGATCACTCCAGCGGTCAATTCCCCAGCACAGCCACAGTTCCCCTTCTGATATGTCATGTCCAGGGGTGGACTGACAACTCATGGGGCCCCCTACTGACCCCGGGCCCTTGGGCAGTGCCCGAGTTTCCAAATGGTCAGTCTGCCCCTGGTCATGTCATAGCCCTCTCCTCTTTTGGGAGTGTCTAATTATTGACAACATGAGGCGTAGCGCTACAATTCCAATGATGAACTAGTTATAAATGCAAATACTGATATGCTGAGAAAAATGGTCTACTAATGTATGACCATACTAAAAAGTCTTAATAGGCATATGTTCCCACTTAGAGTGGAGAGATAAATAAATATAATCAGTCTAGTCCAAGACCTGCCAATTATCACCAATTTAATTACAGACCTTACACACCCCAAAGGAATAAGGGAGACACCCAGCATAATCAATATAGGAGACACCCTGCCCCCAGACCTCAATCTCAACAATTTAGAACCAACCATAATGGCCCTCCAGTCTATAATTCAGATTACTACGAGAATGACAATAGAAAGAAAGATTACACACCGACACCTTTTTTGGCCCAGGTCGGGCACGAAAAAGGAGCGCTTCTGCAAAGGAAAGAGGAGGCAAGAGGGTCAACAAACCCGAAAAAAAGAAAGATGTAAACGAAGCGGGTATTTTTAATCTTAGTAAAGTAGAATTATCAGCTGAGGAGCTAGACCTACTAAACAAAGGGCTCAAATTTGCGCCTAGTGACCCTCAACAAATTTCAAACCTATATTGTCAGGCAATTATCTCTCAAAAAATATTTCTTAACCTCCTTAGCGGTATTCCCGAGTGTAGCTCGGGGTAAAATTTGAGTACCAAAAGCGGTAACCCCGAGCTACACTCGGGCTTACCATGCAGTGTTGCTCAGGTAGTCCCTGCAGCACTTACCTTGTCCTTCGCTCCCCGCGATGTGTCCCCTGCAGCGTCCCCGGCCATCTCCTCCGGCTTCCGTGTTCCGGTCCCTGTGACGTCGGGACGTACGGGCGCCGGAACCGGCGGCAAATTTGAAATTTTTAAAAAATTTCATTTTTGCTGTCATTGCTGTTTCAATGCATTTCACATACATTTTGTCCCGAGTGCTTTGTCCGGCGCCCTGCCTGCATTTTTACTCTTCTTTCTGCCTGGAAACTGAGAAATGTCCATGGCGTCCAAAAAGTGTCCCTTTACGTCAAAAGCGGTTTTAGACCGGCTAGAGAACAGCGATAGTAAATCAGAACCACTTGCAGAATTGAGTGATAATGATTCGTGGGGGAAATTCGTCATCAGACACTGAAAACGATTTTGTGACTTTGCTCAGCGATGTGCTAATTTGCCTCTGTATTTCAAAGTTTTCGGTTTGATTATATTATTGAATTAAATTTATTATTATTTTTTATGATTATTTATTAAATTATAATTTATGATTTCGTGTTTCAAGTTTTATCATACCCGGGATGTTTACTAGACTCTTGTTCGGACAGATTTCAGTGAGTTATTCCTAAATATTACAGCCTACAATAAAAAACTACATATTTCCATGCAAAAAAATGGTACCGCTTTCAGCACAAAAAAAATCGGAAAGAATCAGACCGCCGAGGAGGTTAACAAACCCTATTACACGCAACACCCCTCAAGGAGGTATCATCAATTCTAATTTGAGAAATGCATCGCTCTTTAACCCTCCAGCACAGTCACTCACCTATATTAACGCTTTTCGGGATACAGCCTTCAAAGACCACAAAAATTTAGAAATAAAGAAGGTGAGGGAACAAATGGCTTGTAAAAAAGCTATGAACTCTCTTTTAGAGAAAAAAGACCTTGTAGTCTGACCAGTGGATAAAGGAGGAGGGGGGGTGGTTTTATCCAAAACAGATTATATTAAAGAAGTAAATAATATTCTCAGTGACATAGACACCTACCTCCCATTAAATAAGAACCCTATGGGTTCTTACAAAAAAAATCACTTAAAACAATCATTCGCAAGGAACTGTGTTGTCAGTTTTGGTTTAAAGAGGTTATTGGTGCTGTTCGGTGTACATCGGCTCATTCTAGCGCTCACTTTTACTGTTTATTTATAGTGTCTAATTATTGTCTGTGCTGTCCCAGCTCCTCCACACCTCAAAAGCCTTTATGTAGCTGCTAGGGGAGTAAAAGGGATTACTATAGAGTTTCTTGAGTGACAGCTCTGGGTCTGCTGGTTCTGCTGACATCACATCCAAGATGGTGGCACCCAGCAACAGACTCCAAGCTTTTGGATGTCTTCACATACCTAAAACATGTTAAATGAATATATAATTTTATAAGACGATTGTGGTTAAAATAATCGGTCTCTAAAATTTGGGTTTTTTTGTTCTTTTTATGATGTTTGGGTCTTTCAATTAATTTTCATATCTCCTAGATTGTAAGCTCGAAAGAGCAGGGCCCTCAATCCCCTCATGTTTTGCATTGTATTGGTATTGTTCTGTCACATGTTCTGTCCCCCTCTGTAATGTACAGCGCTGAGCGAACTATTGGCGCTTTATAAATACTGTATAATAATAATAATATATATGGCAGGCCTATAAGTGTCTGTAAAAAGAAGAAAGGACCATCAGATAATGCCATTTGTATTACTCAGAGGTCCTTTCCTCTATCAAAGAGGCTTATTTACTCGACAAACAAGGAGCAGTGCCCCAAAGTACCCCATTTGTACTTCGAACAAGATATGAGGCTTAACATAGCTCCAGAGTTAGGTTGAAAAAAAAAAAAAAAAAAAAAAAGAAGGGATAATTAAATAGAAAACCTCCATTAACAGAACCCTATACCTACAGTTGATCCAGAAGAAGCCAAAAACTCCTAAAGCATGGTCCAATTTTGTTTTGACCTTTAAATGTTAAGGCGGACATAGTCACCCTGAATAAATACATAAATGGTCCACATTGTGAATGTGTCATTCACTTTAATCTCACCATTACCAAGGACGTAGGGGCACTCCTTGCATATAGAGCAGGGGTAGGCAACCTGCGGCTCTCCAGCTGTTGCAGGACTACAAGTTCCATCATGCCTCTGCAAGTCATAGCTGTAACTGTCAGTTTTGTAATGTTGCAATGCCTCATGGGAAATGTAGTCCCACAAAAGCTAGAGAGCCGCAGGTTGCCTACCCCAGATCTAGAGTAAAGAACGTTTAATCTCCTAGATTGTAAGCTCCAAGGAGCAGGGCCCTCGATCCCCTCGTGTATCGCATTGTATTGGTATTGTTCTGTCACATGTTCTGTCCCCCTTTGTAATGTACAGCGCTGAGCGAACTATTGGCGCTTTATAAATACTGTATAATAATAATAACAATAATCTCCCTGTATAGGCAGCAATAGCTGTGAAAACGTGTTTTTGTTACTTTTTTTTTTAAGCTGCATGTGCAAAATGCACAAAATATAACTCGCTATTAAGGGCATAAAACAAACATTTGAATTAAATTTTTTTACCCACAAAAGCCAGAAAAGAAATCCCTCTGTGTTACTTTGTTAACTGAAAATTCCCCTTAGAAAGAAACAAAACAACGTGGGAAATGGCAAACAACAATACGCAAATCAGCTCACTCTAAACTTGTTGCGCAGAAGACTGTTGAGAGCAAAGTCGTCCTTCCAGGCACCCTGTGCTTCCTGCAGTTCAGACAGGGTGGGTATGGCCTTCTGCAGCTTCTCTTTATCTGCCGCACCGTGCTCCAGCCGGTACATAGAATCCGTCTCCAGTTTCTGCTTCTGGTCATGTTCTGTAAAGGACAAGGAAAGAATATGGAGTGCAATACAAAGCCAGCTGAGCCCTAAGCATTGTCAGCCTTCAGGGGCGCAGCACTCCTGCTCCTCAGTTCTGTCCATCACACTGACCTGTTGTTAGGATTTGCTCGTTCTCACTCATGTCCCATCGCTCCTCCTTCCTTTGCGCTCCGCTCACAATGACATAATCACAAGAAGCTGGATCAGTCTGCATCTCGATGTAATTCACACACAAGTGACACTTCATCCTAAACCTAATGCATAAATACAGGAGATACGCCACCATTAATCCACCTGAGAGACTGTAATAACAACAAAAAATCTTTGGCCCATATCAACCAAATTCCAGACATCATTTTTCTAGCACAGCATAAATACTACACCATGAAAGCAATGTAAAGACTGAGAATGTCACACGGGTACTAATCAGGAGTAGGGATGAGCTTAGAGTGTTCGGATTCTAGTCCAAACCCACCTGAGCAAGCCCGCTAGGAAGTTGTCACTGTACCGGGCCAATCATAAGCGGCCAAGGCCTGCCCCCCCCCCACATCTGCACATGCCCACTGTATAGGTATAGGGCAGCACAGTTGCTAAATGGTTAGCACTTCCGCCTGGCAGTACTAGGGTCGTCGGTTCGAATCCCAACCACGGCACCACCTGTCTGGAGTTTGCATGTTCTCCCTGTGCCTGCGTGGGTTTCCTCCGGGTACTCCGGTTTCGTCCCACACGCCAAAGATATGCTGGTAGGTGAATTGGCTCCTGTCTAAATTGTCCCTAGTATGTGTATGTATGAATGTGAGTTAGGGACCTTAGATTGTACACCCCTTGGGGGTTAGGGACTGATGTGAATGTACAATATATATGTAAAGTGCTGTGTAAATTGACGGCGATATACAAGTACCTGAAATAAAATAAAATAAATGTAGGTGTGGCTGCAAGGAATGCCCGGCTGCAGATGATTTGTCCAGTACAGGAAACAGCTACCTGGTAGGCTTTCTTAGGTGAATTCAGACTAGGATCCACACACGCCTGAGCTCATCACTAATCAGGAGCAAATACATGGCAGTAACTAATGGAGGAAAGGACTCAGGCACGGGGGGGGGGGGGGGGGGGGGGGGGTCTGCATGCTGCTGAAATATTGTGAAATTTCACCTGCAGGTGGGAGAGTTCTTTACTTTGTTTTAGTTCGTTTCTAGATTAAATATTCAGAATAAATGTACGCCAATACCTGTATATAGGAGTTGTGTAGTAATTGCCCACTTTCTTCTTCTCTGCATTATATCGCACACCTGAGGGACACGCAGAATACAGATTAGTCAGTAAGAAGTAATGACAGAGCCATAGGACAGGAGGTGAACACATGAGCGCGTACCCATTCCAATGTGATTCTTGCAGCCATCACACCATATGTTATAAGGCATTTCAAACCTGTCAAGATGAGAGGTAAACAAGGGTCAGACAAACACTTTACCTGGGCCCTCAGTTAGGAGTGAGGGCCCCCCTGAAGTCTGACATTTGCTGCTCTGACAACTGCCTGGTCTCATGCTGACAATATCCGATGTCACCTGAGTGTGACGAGTGTTGACCAAACATATCAAAATCTGATTGTGTAATGTTCCTTCCATTGACCAACAACTCTGTAGTGCAAGGCCTGCCTGATTTGATACAAACTGTATTGTGTAGGTTGGGGCCCTATTGTGTAGGCTTGGGCCCTCACATTACTTTGTTTTGGTAACTTTAGTGGAGATTGTACCATCAGATTACAACTTCTATGGCCAGCTTGGCAGTAACACATAGCACAGCCTTGTAGAGGAGTGAAGGTTGCAGCCGTCAGATACTTAAGCCGGCCATACATGGATCGAAATTTGGCTGGTTCAGCAGGGACTGGTCGAATTTTGATCCATGTATGGGCAAGGCTGGTTGTACTGAAGTCAAACCAGTCTGTTAGATTTTTCTGCATGCGATTACTGCCAGTGGCCATAGCCGCTAGCATTAACCCTTTGGCGCCGGCGCCTCCCGGCCCTTTAAGGGTTCCAGAAGCCGGGAGGCAGAGCGGGGTTTTAGGGTCATGTGACCGCCATGATTCGCTGTCACAGCAGTCACATGATCGGGAAAGGTCCCGATCGAAAGAGGAGATTGGGACCTTTCCGTGAGTACAGAACGTGCGTTCTGGGAGCCCATTTTTTTAAAAATAGAACACAAATGTGCGGCTGCTCAGCGTCTAGGCCCAGACTCCGGGAGGCCGCACATTTGTGTTCGGCTGGCGCCAAGAGGTTAATCACTGTATTCTCCTAGATTGTAAGCTCCAAGGATCAGGCCCTCCTATCCCTCTTGTATTGAACTGTATTGTTGCTGTATTGTCTCCCGTTATATTGTAAAGCGCTGAGCAAACTGTTGGCGCTATATAAATCCTGTATAATAATAATAATAATAATATTCTGCTGGCTGGGAATGGCTCCCTGCGCCCCCCACTGGCAGAACACAATAGTACTACGGGAGGCATTCATCTAGTAACACTGACTGCGTTGATGGGGGAACAGAGCCATTTTCTTTCCTTCCACTACTGGTGGAAGGAAGAAAAATCGATGCATCTATGGCTTGCTTTGCTTTGATCTGATGGCCGCAACCTCCTGTGTATATTAACATCTAGCATTACAAGTACCACTGTCCTGGCTGAACCTATGCATTATAGCCCCAGAGAGCATGTCTATAGAGAAGTCTACAGGGCTGTAATGTGCAGGCGCGGTCAGGATGTAAACAAACACCAAAGGCCATAGCCAATGGATCTAAGTAACTATGCATCTGTTGAGGGGGAGGGTCAGGTCAGGGCAAAAGAAAAAAAAAAAAAGGATATGCGCATTTTGTCTTAAAGTGCACCTATCCTTTATGCAACTCTAACAATGAAAACAAAATTGTGCAGCCTGTTACCTGATGATAAGGATGCCCTGGGACAGCTTCCGGGCCCGTTCCCGCAGCGGGTGACTGTTCCGATAGCGATTGAGAGAGCCATGCTGAAGGAAAAAGGAAGCGACAAAGATGAAACGGTTTATAAGAACGTTTACTTTATCAGTGTTATACCAGAAAAAGTTGACTAATCTACCGAGATGTGTTCTACATTACTGTGTACACACAGCGGTTGATTTACTAAACTGGAGGGTGCAAAATCTGGAGCAAATGGAGCAGCTGTGCATGGTATCCAATCAGATTGTAACTTCAGCTTGTTCAATTAAGCTGCCTCTAAACACCTATGTGTGCGTCGACACATAGGCTAACATGCAGAGGTGTTTAGTGGCAGAAAAAAAAAATCAGCATTAAAAACATCCAGTATGCATGAGGCCTAAAGTAAAACTAAAGTAAAACAACGCATACTGTTAGACAGGTTAATTTGGTTGTTGGCAAGCTGGCTGGCGAGTTGATTTTTGAACACTTTTTTATTTTTTACTGACATGCGTTGCCCGGTTCACGTAGTCCTTGCTTCATAAGCCAGTTATAGACCTGGGCAGGTGCCATGTTTTACTTTACTGTTAGTTTTTAGGTCAGTGTGTGCACTGGGCACCCTGGCTGCCATTGTGATATATGCTGGGTGTTCTTTGCACTCCTATGCCTTTAAGAGGGGTGGGCTCCCCGATGTGCACCTTCCCTTGGTCTATCCATTAAATGCATGTGCCTCTACTATGGGGACTCAGAATATCAGGGTGCCGTGATGTGCCGTGACGTGGCTCTGTGGCTTACGTATGTATTTGCAAATGTATGCTAACTAAACCCGTTTTTAAAACACATACTCTTAGACAGGTTAATTTGGTTGTTAGCAAGTTGGCTGGCGAGTTGATTTTTGAACACTTTTTTTATCTTTATTTTTGACTGACCGGCCTAAAGTAAAACTAACCTTTTTTTTCATTTTGGATAAAACAGAAGGATATAACCCCTGTCAGATTTTTTTTTTGCCATCTGTGTCCCATTGCAGGGATTTCCCTTCATTTCCTGTCCCATAGACAAAACAGGAAGTGTGAAGAAAAAAAAAAAACTCTCCAAAGTGAGGGAATCCCTGGTTGTCCACATTGGAAGATTTCCCTTCTATTCCTGTTCTGGTCACAAACCAAAATGTAAAATTTTTGGTTTCACTTTTTGATGACAGCCCCCACTTACATAACTAACCTTGACTCAAAATACCAACATTATTGTTCTCTTCATTCATCCCAAGACCTCTTGCTCTCTAGTTCCCTTGTCACCTCCTGGACTTTCCCTGAGCCTCTCCCATCTTATGGAACTCCCTACTCCAATCTATCTCCTAACTACTCCTACCTTGTCCACTTTTAGAGGATCCCTGAAAACCTCTCTCTTCCACTTAACTGCTGTACTTTTATTTTTTCCATCAGCTCACCCCCTACAGTAATTTCCTTTTGTATCTCTTGACCTTCCCAATTAGAGTGTAAGCTCTAACAAGCAGGGCCCTCCGATTCCCACTGTATTAAACTGTATTGTAATTGTCTGCCCTCAATTTGAAAACCACTGCATAAACTGTTGGCATTATAGAAATCCTGTATAATAATAGAGAACAGGACAAATAAAGAGGCTGAATCTCCATAACAGGGGTACAGAGAGCATAAAAACCCGACAGGCGTTCTAATCCCTCTCCACTCTATCCAAAAATGTAAAACAGAGTTTAGATATACTTTAACACCTTGGTGCTGATAGTATGTATATATGGGGCCTCTCTGCGGGTGGCCCTTCACACCAAGAAGGGGATCAAATACTTATTTCCCTCATGAACAGGCAAATCAGTCATCATTTGGTAGACATGCATTTCTGCTGAATTCTTTGTTGCTATTCTGTCTCTCAGTGTTACAACACACCTAACATTCGATTTTTAGACCGATCATTTCTTTGTGAGTGGGCAAACATTCAAAATCAGCAGGGGATCAGATATTTATTTCCTTCACTGTATATGTGCACCAAAATACAATCAAAGCAATGCCCCTAATGGAAATCAAACGATCAGGGACAGCTTATCACGGTGGCCACATGATTATTAACCCCACCTCGCCTCCTGGCATTAGAAACTCCTTAAAACGGAACGTTCCAATTTAAGACCTTGTCCCCCCTCTCCCCATTGAGGATTGTCACCTTTGGGGAGCGGGTACCTGATTTTCCCAAGTACCCGCTCCCATTTCTGCTGCGATCGCCTAGGCAATCAGAGGCGGAAGCTGCCCTCCCTCCCCATAGTCTTCTGGGACACATGACAGGTCCCAGAGGACTACAGGACCATTCAGGAGGCACAGCGCTACTCGTGCATGCGCAGTGTGCACCCGGCTATGAAGCTTCAAGCGGTCACGGCCGTGTGCCCACACTTAGGATGCCCATGCTGGGGAGAGAAGACAGCCGGTGAGAAACCAGCCGTGGTGAGGACACCACTGGATCAAGGGACAGGTGAGTGTCTGTTTTTTTTTTTTTTTAGTCTGCAGCTAGTTTTTGAAGCCAATGACTTTTATTTATTTTACTTTCCAGGAGGAGTGATCTATACACAATCACATCATATATAGGTATCTATAAATCATTTTAACCCCTTGCCTAACAGGTACTTTTACCCCCTTTCTGTCCAGGCCAATTTTCAGCTTTCAGTGCTGTCGCACTTTGAATGACAATTGCGCGGTCATGCAACACTGTACCCATATGACATTTTTATAATTGTTTTCACACAAATGGAGATTTCTTTTGGTGGCATTTTGGTGGGTTTTTTATATTTTGCACTATAAACGAAAAAAAGAAAAAGGCATTTGAAAAAAAAAAAAAAGTTTTTTTGTTTCCATTATAAAATTTTTCTCCTTCACTGATGTGCACTGAAGGGCACTGACAGGCAGCACTGATGAGGCGGCACTGGTTGGAATTGATGAGGCACTGATGATGCTGCACTCAAGGGCACTGGCAGGCAGCACTGATGAGGTGGCACTGACAGGCAGCCCTGATGAGGCGGCACTGACAGGAAGCACTGATGAGGCGGAACTGACAGGCAGCACTGATGAGGCGGAACTGACAGGCAGCACTGATGAGGCAGCACTGGTGGGAATTGATGAGGAGGCACTGATGATGCTGCACTCATGGGCACTGATAGGTAGCAATGATGGGCACTGATAGGTAGAAATTATAGGCACTGATAGGTAGCACTGACGGGCCGCACTGCTGGGCCCTTTTAGGGCTGCACTGATAATCAGTGCCCCGATTATCAGTGCAGATGTCCTCTGTGACACTTGCCAGTTATCGGCAGTACTTTCCTCATGCTGTGACAGAGCTAGGAAAGTGCTGCAGATAACCGGCAACTGTACTTACTTTGTCATTGGACACAGCTGATCATGTGGTAAAAGGCCGCTGTGATTGGTCTTTTACCTTGTCATGTGATCAGCTGTGTCTGAAGGACACAGCGATCAAACACAGCGCCGGGGGCGCGCGTTCTTGGAGGACATCATATGACGCCCCCCCAGAACTGCACAACCACGCTGTAGCCCTCATTTGGCTATGGCACGGTTATAAAATGGTTAAAGAGGCACCGGCGTGAAGCTATAAACGTAGCGGTAACACACACTCTGACCAACGGGGGGGGGGGGGGGGGGGGAGTCAAAACCTGCCAATAGGTTCATAATAACCCAGTCCGGTAACAAGTGATGTTGTGAAGGAACAGACCATTGTGAGGTTTATAGACATGACATCAAAATTCAAACGTAAATCCCACTTCCTGTAGTCACACTTACTTTGGCGGGATCAAAATCCGGAGGGTAATACTTGTTGGTTCCTTTTCTCTCCCCCTAAAGAATGAAAGGAAAAACAGTTATTATCGGCAATCATCCAGCCGCTCCATCACAGACCCCAGCCAGCGGAGGCTCTATGGCCGACATGTGCAGCCAGAGTACTGTCACAGGTAAGACAGGGGCTCTTATAATGAATAATATTTGGACACAACACAGTGCTGGCTTCAGGGTCATACTGCAATGCTCAGACCCTCCACTATGGTGCTGGCTTCTTCCTTCCATCAGGACAGGTTCTCTTTATGCCCAGCACCCTGTGTCTCTGCTAACAGAAGTCAATGCACTCACCATGCTGCTGCACTTCTCTTACAGCTGCCTCTGTGGCCTCCTCACCCAGCTCCCTCCTCCTCCTTCTCCTCCACACCAGTGTTGCTGTCTGAACGTCACATAAAGGCGACCAAGCCTGTGAAATATACAAGTTTACTTCCGGGTGCTCAGTGTCCCTGCTCCTGTAGAGCAGCCTGCCCATATAAGTCAATAGAGATTGGTCTTCAGAAACATGGCCGCCAAGCCTGAATCCAGTAGTGGTGCCGGAGACACTGTTACTAGGAAGTCACCTACTAACGGTGGCCTCACAGGGGACAAAAATCATTTGTATGCAGATAGGTTATGTAATATAGTTGCAGATATTCAGTGTTTTGATTTTGGCTCCATACACACGGGGTAAATAAATGAAAAAACAGGTTTGCGCTAATAATCTCACCCAAATTATTAAAAATATTGTCACATGTATAACTGCATACTTATTTATTATTTATTTATTTCAGGTACTTATATAGTGCCGTCAATTTACACAGCGCTTTACATATATATTGTACATTCACATCAGTCCCTAACCCTCAAGGGGTGTACAATCTAAGATCCCTAACTCACATTCATACATACACATACTAGGGACAATTTAGACAGGATCCAATTAACCTACCAGCATGTCTTTGGAGTGTGGGAGGAAACCGGAGTACCCGGAGGAAACCAACGCAGGCACAGGGAGAACATGCAAACTCCAGGCAGGTGGTGCCGTGGTTGGGATATCTTTATATCAATAAATTATTAATAGTGTCCAAATAAATGTGCAAAAGTCCAACACCAAAAACATTTTTTTCTGTATCAATAAACAATCTTCAAAGCAAAAAATATTTTTCATGTGAAAAATGCAAAACCTCCGTGCATAAATCCACCGCCGAATAAATTGAATGAACTCACCAGAGCAATATGCTGATCATATTATAACATATTTATGTTTTGAGAATGCTGTTAATGTTAGCTGTGTAGTTTTTGCATTGGCGTTTTCCTGCGTTTGCGGTTTTTAGCTTTTTTTTCATCAACATAAAAGTGCAGCACTAAAATTTTATACTTTTATTAAAACTTTATAATAAACTTTTATTATGATAAGTTTTTACTAGGTTTTAGGGTTCCTATGTCGGTGCATTTGCAGCTGGTTATATAAGTACAGTATTTTCATAATTTTTATATCTTTCATTTAGCGCTCACTGTACAAATTTTATAGTTTTAGGTTTTTTTTACAAGGAAAAAACATTTTTTTAGTCCAAAAAAGTCCAAAAACACCAGTTTGTGGCGTTTTGCCTAATTTTTCACAGAGTGTTTTTACAGCTAAAAAACTCTAGAAACCCACTAGTTCTGGGTTTATTTTCCAGCCAAAAAACGCCCTTCCAAAAAAAGTTGATTTCAGTCTATGTGTGTATGGACACGTAGGATAACATGCCGGGGATGGACACGTAGGATAACATGCCGGGGATGGACACGTAGGATAACATGCCGGGGACGGACACGTAGGATAACATGCCGGGGATGGACACGTAGGATAACATGCCGGGGATGGACACGTAGGATAACATGCCGGGGATGGACACATAGGATAACACGCCGGGGATGGACACGTAGGATAACATGCCGGGGATGGACACGTAGGATAACATGCCGGGGACGGACACGTAGGATAACATGCCGGGGATGGACACGTAGGATAACATGCCGGGGACGGACACGTAGGATAACATGCCGGGGATGGACACGTAGGATAACATGCCGGGGACGGACACATAGGATAACACGCCGGGGATGGACACATAGGATAACACGCCGGGGATGGACACGTAGGATAGCATGCCGGGGATGGACACGTAGGATAACACGCCGGGGATGGACACGTAGGATAACACGCCGGGGATGGACACGTAGGATAACACGCCGGGGATGGACACGTAGGATAACACGCCGGGGATGGACACGTAGGATAACACGCCAGGGATGGACACGTAGGATAACACGCCGGGGATGGACACATAGGAGAACACGCCGGGGATGGACACGTAGGATAACACGCCGGGGATGGACACATAGGATAACACGCCGGGGATGGACACATAGGATAACACGCCGGGGATGGACACGTGGGAGAACACACTGGGGATGGACACGTAGGATAACACGCTGGGGGGTTTACTGGCTGTAGAAAAAATGTCAAAAGCCAAAAACAGCCGCTGTAAAAATGTCCCGCGTGCATGAGGCCTCAGGACAGAATGTTCGCTTTTAGTTAGCAGAAATAGATTTTGCCTTGTTTGTGCACGGGTTCAGCTAGAACTATAGGCAAAACTTTTTTTTTTTTTTAATAGAATATTGGAGTATTTTAACCCCCGTCAGCTTTTTTTTTTGGCCATCTGTGTCCCATTGGGGAGATTTCCCTTCACTTCCTGTCACATAGCCAAAACAGGAAGTGAGAGGAAATCTCTCCAAAATGAGGAAATCCAACATTTGGCATTTACTTTCAATGATGATGGTGAACAGGACAAATAGAAAGAATGCATCTCCCTAACGGTGACACAGAAAGCGATAAAAACCTGACAGGGGTTCTAATCCCTCTCCACTCTATCCAAAAGTTTAAAACAAACTTTTTGCCTTTAGATATATTTTAAGCAGAACTCCACCTAAGCTTTTCTTTTTTATCATGCAGGACCGGTCCTTTCGGCTCCTGCATGTCCCCCCCCCCCGCGGTCCAGTGGTCTTGTAAATGGACTGTTCCTGGCCTCAGCACGCTCAATGAACACTCCACAGACAGGAACAGTCCACCGCTGGACTGCGGGGGAATATGAGCTTGGATACTGCATGGATCATCTCATTTTTTCTAGGGGGTGCAGACTAAGCTCATACTCACCTGATCCACTGATCCTACGGAAAACCACGCTCCCCCACAGTCAAGCGGTGGACTGTTCCTGTCTGTTGAGTGTGCATTGAGCATGCTGAGGCCAGGAACAGTCCATTTACAAGACCGCTGGACCGCGGGGGGGACGGGGGGGGGACTTGCAGGAGCCGAAAGGACTGGTGTGTGTATCTTTGCTGTCCTCTCCCCTAGAACAAAATGAGCATTTAGCCCCTGTTTTCTTTTACGGGATTTCAGCTTTAAGCTATAATAAATTTAGCACAGACACACACTTTAAAGTGGAGCTCCACTCAAAAGTACAAGAGAGTTAACTGGAGGGCAGTTTATTGCTCAAGTGTACTGCCATCTGTTAAGTTGGAGGTCCGCCTTAAGGTTGAATTGTCCCTGAAGGCGGTCTGCGCCTTGTTTCGGGGCATTGATGGATATAGCACAAGCAAAAGGTACCCCATGTGCCAGCAGATTGACCATATTATTTTTTTGATGCATCATTTTTTATATATTTTTTTTTCTCCTGTTTTGATATATTCCTGTCTGAATATGTATGATTTTTGTGATTTTGTGCATTTTATCCCAAGCAGACATGCGGTTTTTGTATATATTATTATTTAAATTTTGATCCTTTACAAATGTGGCTTTTTAGTCCATATCTTATTGGGATATTCATTTGCTTTCATCTGTGTTTGTGTATGCTCATTTAATTTTTTATTTGAGCTTTTATTTACAATTTTTTCATAATTTTTATTCATTATTCCTTTTTCTCTTTCTTTGTTTCTCATTTTATTCCACTTTCTTTTTCTTTTTTCTTTTCTTCCTTCCTTGTTGTTTTTTGATAGCACTGTTTTTGATACAATGGTTTTATATATACAGTATCTCCCAGAAGTGAGTCCACCCCTCACATTTGTGTAAATATTTGATTCTATCTTTTCATGTGACAACACTGAAGAAATGACACTTTGCTACAATGTGACGTAGTCAGTGTACAGCTTGTATAACATGGAAATTTGCTAACCAATATTATAGTGCAGCGCTAAAATAATACTAACCAAACATCATACCATGTAAATAATCAACACATGCACATAAATATCTAAAAATATATATATAAAGAAATATAAAATGATACGAAACACTAAATTCTATATGTAAATAAAGTGCCACGATGTGCTCCAACATAAGTGTTCAAATGATAAGTGACCTGAGGTCACTTATCATCAAAAATTTCAGACCCCGTGCATTATTAACCAATCAATGCGTGTATCATTACATAGAAACAAACCCCCCGTACATATGATACAATCCTAAATAAAACACGCTTTAAGTGACCAGTGGAAAAGTGACCAAATTGACTCAAATATAAAACTTCAAAATATATTCCACTCAAATAAAGTTCATAAATCCTCCAGATAGCGCTCCAAACAGCAATAACTCATGCAGAGTGATAAAAGTGATGATTTATGTGATGGTGTCAGCACACTTATCCTCCGTGGCTAAAATGCCCCCTCACCTCCACTCTAAGACCCAAAGGGCCACTAAGCCTCCAGGATCCTGATGAAGTCATGTGGTATAGTGACGCAACGTGTAGATACGCCGTGACGCAGCTTCCGGTCCGCGGTGACGCACATCCGGCGCGGGTGCCATCTTGGCACACCCAGACAAGTCCTAACCCATGCAGTACACCCAAGCATGAGGTTTTATGCTGTGATTTGATTTGTACCAAATGAGTGGGCATTTTTATATATTAACCCCTTTGCGCAGGCCGCACGCAAATGTGCGGCCTCCCGGCGTCTGAGCCTAGACGCCGAGCGGCCGCACATTTGTGTCC